AAATCAGAGTTTTCTGCTGTTTCAAAATATATGCTCAGAATTGTTTTGTATCTTAAAGTCAGTTAACTGTGAACGAATATTTCACAGTGCCAAAGTTCACTCTTGGACAGAATTTTATTTTTCTTATTTTTATATTTTCATTAAAATCCACTCAATTACAAACACTATAGTTCTTGAGGTTGTGGGTGTCGGGTATGAATACAAAAAGTGCTTATATATACACATCCTTATCCACATACACGCCCTCTTGCAAATAATATTAGTTTGTGTTCAACATTCAATCTTTGTTCTACAACTGTATTCGGTATACACTACAAAGTTTTTCATAATTCAGAAATGTTAACTGCTACTGGTATTACAAAAGATTGTCATGCTTTGTCATAGCAAGAAAATCATATGCCTATCTTCCCATTGCAACAACATCCTAGGTTCAAAAAAACGAAGTCAAAAACTGTCTTAAACGCTGTAATAACGATATATAACGTCGAAATACGACGCCGTAGTCCATTATACCAGGTTACGGAGGCAAAGCCGATGAAAAACGATGGCTGTTCTTTAGTGACAAAAGCCGTATGACAGATTAGAGGGAAATAAGGTCAAAATTAATGCAATAATTTTTTGTTTTCTACCCGTTTCAGGTCAGATAAGACACATTTTCCGATGGCTGAAATGATCGACCTGGGATAGGCATAATCTTCATGCAACGAGTTATTTAGAAAAGATCGATGTAGAGCCTAGTTGTTTATGTTCATGTAGATTTCTTGTTGTATTCAGCCCTTGAAAATATCGCCAATCACTCAGTACCATAGTTAAATTAGGTCAATCAAATATATTTATTGCCTGTGAAGCGAGTAATTTTTTATTTGATGAAAAATAAACATCTTCGAAACATACTGTCTTACATGTCAAAACCTAAATATATCGTATCCAACAAGTGGTGATATAGAGTCAGAAATGTTCCTCCTTCATGATCAAAAAAAGAAATTAGAACCTCATTCTAATACAAATATTGGGCACATCTCCGTAGAAAAAGGCTAAAAATGAAAACAAACAATGAGAACATTTTATTATAGGCTTTATCAATCAGTAAACAATGTTAGCAATAAAAAAATTCGTTAATAAAAAAATAACGATGATTTGTACAAATCTAAATAAAATATCATTTGAAATTCTACTTGTTTCTCTTTTACGACAATAAAAGTATCCATGATTATAACTGTTAAAAATACTTGACCGAATCTCTATACACCAAGTAGAAAACTTGTGTTGGGATAATAAAACTCAATATGAATGATGCAATAATCGAGACACCTCGTGGAACAAAAACAGGTGATATATCACTGAATAAGAGATGTATCCAAATAATATTATATAGATCCATACACACACTCTTGTATCTTGCAAAGTTACAGATTTCACCAGACGGTCAACAAAACTAAATGAAAACTTATGTTTAAAAAAATAGAGTATTTAGGGCACACATTTCAATGTTTCCGATGTCAAATTATTAAATCACTTCGGGTCAGTATCAGGGATGTTCAAACATTGATTTTCTTAGCATCCTGCCCTGCCCTGTCTTGCTTGGCCCACTAGAGCAGAACAGAGCAAAGTACTCTGCTGAATTAACACATTATTTTTATCGTAATTTCCAATCGAGTTAAAAAGCAAAAACGTTTCATTGTTGCATCATAGAGTATTATTTTATTTAAGCCCATTTTACAATAGAAGTAACTCATAGTTTCACCATCAACATACATGAGTATCAATTCGAAACCGTAATCTTCAACTATTGTAAATAGTCTTAGATCTGTACAAATCTATTTAGTAAAAAGATCTTTTAATTCATTTATTTGCTTTGAGCGTTAACTTAACGTGTCGTTGAAAAAGAATTTGATTTAATTTCTATTTAACTAATTTTGAATCATGTGTATTACCTTCAATACAATTTGAGGAAATTAATGAGAAGCATTGATCTGCATGTTCGATGAAGTGTTTTGTTCCACTTGCAGATCCAGAATGAAATGCACAATAACATTTGAAGCAACTAATGAAACCATTTATACGTCCAAAATCGGTTTTTTAATTCGTAACAGCTAGTAGTCAAAAGAATGCCGCCAAGGCATCAATATACTTTTTTTGAAAGATTATTTTCAAGTCAAACATTTCAGTCTCTTTTAATAATGATGTTTAATTGCTCAGCACTATAAACATTTGAAGAAGATGTCGTAAAGAGTCTAATGCGACAAGATGAAGACGCATTTGATGTAGCAGCAAGATCAGAAGTAGATATTAGGCCAATATCATCATCCGAATCAAATGAAATAGAACTCATAAGTCAATATTTCACTTCAGTGTACTAAAAACAGGAGAAAAAAAAACACAATTTTTCAATGGTCCTTTTATTTAGTTTTTAATTCTACCCTATTCATTCAGCTGTAGATCTATAGCGAAAACCTCTACACATCATAGTTGATGCCATCCTCCACATTGTATTTTTGATTTTTTAACTTTCAAAGACACTAAATACACTCTTTTGAGGATGATAATTAGAAACTGAGTTTCCATTTTGTAGGGTATAAAGATTTAACCCTGTTCTATCTTGTACCCAACCCTGCGCTACCTTGAACAGGGCAAAAATAATTTTTTTTAATCCTCCTCTGTCCTGTGTGCAGCTCTGATAGGGACACTTATTGAACAATTGCCTTTACCATTGGATACAATATTGGAACTTATGTATTATTCAAGCGAAAAACAAGATTCCATTGAAAAATCAATGCAATACTTGAATATTGGACGGACAATAACAGTAGTGGACTGAAAAAACTATTTTCATGAGTGTGTGCGCCGAGTACTATATTAGAAATCCTGTACGAAACGAAGATATGTGTAATCCATTAATATATATATATATATGTATATTGTATACATTGACATGATAAAAAGGTCTTGGTCATATCACCGAAATTGATGAGAGCTGTTTTGGCAAAAACAGGTGTCAGTGAAGATGACTTTATTGATCAGAACAGTAGGTCTTCGGGAAAATCGACATTCAAACACGATAATGTTTCACAGTAGAAGTGGATGTATGAAACAGTCAAGCGTTAGTATCACTTATACAAGAATACATAATTATTTAATCAAAGATTGTAGTATTATGCCTGACAAATATGGCGGATGTGACATTATATTAATGCCTTCATGTGCTAAATAATTAATAACGTTGGATGAGTATGAAGCCAACGATGATTGTCAAGCAACCGTCCACTTTTTTAACTCTGATGTCTTTGTTTGTTTCCATATTTTGTTAACAACAGGCTTCAGACAATTTTCGAGACATCATAGTTCTAATCTAGAATTTTGTCTTTATCTACATTCTATGTAAGAACATAACCATTTGATTTAAAGAATATACGAAATAAAGTTTTCGGTTGAAAACTATCTTGGCTATCAATTGGCGTTAGCAAGTCATCTTTATCAATTCAGCTAGCATTAGTTGATTTTTGGCCGATCTATCCACATTAAATTCATGTCTGATGCTCCATAATAACATTTTCTAATCGCTATGATCTATCACTAAATGTCACTGAATATGCACTAGAAATTATAATCCAATCCTATTCATGTTCCACCACTGAGTTGATGATTGACCCAACCTAATGTGACTTTTCTCATGTTGAGACAATCATGGATAATTCGTTCTATTGTGCTATAAGAGAGAGAAGTCTTAGCTATAATATTATCATAAGTTCAGTAGGAATCATTGTTGATAATCTGTCATATCAGTTCAACATTTACATGTGCAATGCTCGGAAATCGGATGACTAAATCAATATCCGTCATTCATATAATCTCTTCTTTGTCGAAAACGCTTCGCTCATCTTGTAATTGTTGGATACGATACGATCGAGTGTTTGATTCCAATGCCGTTATAAGTTCTTCATGAATTATCTTGACATCTATTCCAAAAATAGTCTGAATTTTAATATTGTATTGATTGAATTCATTATCCATTGTTCAAAAGTTGTTTTCTGTTGGAATTACGTTCTATTTCAAAAACTATTTGAACTAAAACCAAAATAGATTTATTATGTCTTATTATAGACAATACGTTCTTCTATGTTTTCAAGCAACAAATTCTTAAATGCTAGCTGGTTTATAAAATTTCCAGCAACTTGGCCAGAACTTTTGGTTAGACCTAAGTAGAAGAAATGTAAATAGATTAGTTACACGATTTTTTATTCATCAACTGAGGTAACTTTAAAAATTTATTAGTTCTTTCAAATAAGCAAAAAATATTGATCAGGCAAATCTCTTCCAATTAAATCAAGATATAAGATATAGTCAAATGTTGATTCGAACCATTTCAAAGAACACCTAGGTACTTGTACTCTGTAAATAAAGCAAGAAAATGATAGAATGATAAGAGTTGCCGAAACCAGATCACAGGTTCTCATGCAAACATTATCCTTCGGATGATACCATTTTTGATGCATTTAAGGACAAATTTTCGCTTTTGTATTCTTTTCTATTTTCGCATACATAATAAAATATAAGCAAACACAGGTTATCTTTGTTTCTTTCTTTCCTGCTGATTGATAAAAACCCTTTAGACAGTGACACTAGTAGAGTAAAAGACACAAAAGGAATAAGATTGCATGCGCATGTTTTGTAGCTTAGTTTATTCGATGAAACCGACTGTGCTGCGAAAAAACACAAGATGTGAAGAATGAAAATTAAATTTTAATGTTTCTTTCTTTTAACGTGTTTATTGTCAACTCAATATTTGATGACATTCAGTAATTATATAGAGCTTTATATCTTACCTTGAGAGAGAAAAGAGCATAGATACTTCACATACATACTTGCCATTTATTGCCTTTTTTTGCGCAGCTTATCTTTCAACAAAAAGAAAAAAAGGATCGTGTCTTGGTTAGGTATTTTATTATATCTTGTGTTTGAATATGCGTACATAATTCATTTTTAAAGGATATAAATTCGTGATGACTTCGCCAAATAATCAAAAGCTGAGACATTTAACTGATACTGTCGATAAACTTGCCAAACGACTATTGTCTATTCAACCGTCTTCTCTCGAGCAACTCGAACAATGGCGTGAGGCAGCTTACCGATCTGTTGATCACTATTGCGAACACAAACGCCATGAATTAATTGAAACGAAACAAGCTCATCAAAAGAAAGAACTTGATCAACTTCGACAAAAAGTAAATCATTTAATTGAAAAGCATGATGATAAACAAGATCATTATGATTCAATTAATCATGATATTCAATTGTTGGCCGTTAAAATTAATGAACTAGAACATCTCCGATTAAAGGTTCATCCATTGTCCATTGACGAACATCTTGTTGTTCGACGACATCTATTCCCTCTGCCTCATCCATCTCGAACAATTCGTTTAAAAGCTGGTTTAGAAAGTGCTGTTGGCACTAATGATAGACATCTTCTTGTCGATCGAGAAGGTAAACATCTATGTTTGCTTGATGAAAACCTAGCGATTACCAACGAAGTTCCATTTACTCATGATGGTATTCATAGTGTATTTTGGGCATCAACAATTGCTCGATTTATTATTATTACTTTTAAAAAAATTTTATTACTTGATGAGAAAACGATGAAAATCGAGCAATGTCCTGTTTCATCTGAACTAGATTGGTGGCGTGGCACCTGCTCGGAAGATACTTTATTTTTATCGACAGTAGAATGGGGTTCATCAATTTATGAATTTAACCTGCGATCATCATTTAAAGCTGGCAAGGAATGGCATGCACCTGTTACTTGTAAAAAAGAAGAAATTCTTTGTGATATAAAGTACAACAGTGGTTTTCTTGCTACTCCTATTTTTAACAAAAATAAAGAAGAGAGCCATTTTGAACTACGTTCAGCAGCAACTCTTGAATGTATCTGGTCAATTCGTGTTCATGGACGTTGTCGTTGTTGTTCAATTGACGTTGATCAATGGTTGTTGATGGATCATGATGATTGTCGATTCTTTCATATTTCAGCTGATGGAAACCTTTTAGAAGCAGACAAGTATGATCAACATGAACGACTCGAGGATATTATACCATGGGGCAAAGATAACATTGTTGTTTTAACCAAGAAAAGTATCAACTTGCATTCACTTAACTAAAGCAAATTGGTACAAACAAACCTTCTAAGCAATAACACTATATTTTAAAATATGCTCTCTAAAATTAATTCGAACCATCGATTTTCTGTTATAGCCCGTTACATATATATTGTTTTGATCATGTTTTTGATAATAAGCAGTGTTAAGGTGAATAAGTGATCTATTAAGAAATAATTAATAAATTCGTCCCAGTGTCAACGATTTTACGTTTTAGCTTTTAAATAGAAATTATTATTGTTTTAAAGACATTGATACACTCTACCCAATGGGTAAAACTTCAATTATAAAAAAAAAATATTATTGAATTCTTTTTTAATTTTGATGATGTCTATCTACTATAATATGGCTAAATGAGATTATGCATAATATCTATAAGTGGTTTTCATCAATAGTAGGAATATTTAGATCTTCTTATCTTAATATAAAAAGAAAAAGAATAATGCAAATTTGATGTTGCATTAAGAAAAGACAAAAGCCAGTGTTTTTTTTTTAAATCATTTTTAGAAAAGCTTCGTTTTTTGTGTCAGGATGATTATCAAATATCAAAATCGGAAGTTAGAAGGTGTTCTCAATTCTCAACAGTTAAATAAATTTTTACAAAATAGATTTACCTTGATAAATTACCGTAATCGGGTTCAAAACAAATGTCAGTAAAATTTTTTGTTAACATCAACGTTACAGACGTTAGATATATCGATAAAAGATTAATTGATGAATCATCTTATCTGCCAAAGTGAACAAAATCCCTAATTTATGGATCAATATCACAACGAGCATGTTACATTGTTGAAGCACCAAACACATGAGTCTCATTAGCGATTGAATCCCATTGTGATTTTGATACATAAATGCCTCATTTGATATCTATAGTATTAGTTCCATAAATTGATGCATAACTAAAAGCAACATTTACTGAAGAATTGTTCTCCCATAAAATTTCAATATTGGACTAGAGCAGAGCATCCTCAATTCTGTACCTTATTGTTAAAGATGATTGACTGTGTCTACAGCTTGAAACAAACTGATAAGCGTTATTATCGAGTCTCGAAGAAAGTAAGATATCTCAAATCTGCTGAGTCCGATCATCAGAGCGAACACATAGATATATATATTTACATTCATAAACATGTATCATTCCACCAGCTCATGCATTGTTAATCGTTTGAACACTTTCTTGATCACCTTGGTCTATTTCTTCATAGACAAGAACAATATCGAAGTTATATCTAATCACCTATGCTGAAGCGATAAAAAAAATGAGTGCCTAACTTTAAAGGAAGACATTCGTATCGTTAATTTTCAGTGATCACTGAAAAAAATCACTTTTTGAAGTATTGAAATATACTACAAAAATACTATGAAACATCAACGGTATAGGTTGCTCAGGCTGTCGATACTGTCATAGACAGTAACAGCATGTAGACTAGCACGTTGTATCTCAATAAAGAGAGTAATTATTTCTTTATTATACGATGAAAAAAGTATTATTAGTTTGAGCAAATGATGTTTATTATTTATATACAACATTAATTCTTCTGCCAGTCATAGCCTATGTTGAAACATGTCGCCTTTTTTATGGTAAATTCATTGGTCATTATTTTAATTACTGGTGTTAAGCTCCTCCCCAGAATAAAAGGGTATGGCCTTGTATTGCGTGTCCTCCGCACATCGTTACTTTTTGGATGGCCTTCTATTGAGATCAACTTTTGACCAATTATTAATTAAAAATTATTAAAAGCTATAATAATTAATTATAGTTAATTAATATTTTTAATTGATGTAGCTCCGGTCTTTTTCGTGAAAAAACTGCTGTTTTCATATAAAAACATGCTATCAATCATTGAATATGGAGCGAATTCTCAGAAAAGCAGTACTTTTTGACTAATTATTAATTAAAATTTACCAAAAAATTAAATATTTTTATAATTAATTAATTGATTAGGACATGGCCTTCTAATAGGGCTGATGAATTTTTGTTCAGACATGGCCTTCTAATGAGGGTGGCCTTCTAATATGGGGTGGCCTTTTATTCTGGGGAGGGATTTAGGATATGAGAGATAGTAAGAACTTATCAAAATCTAGCACGATCCTTCGTGCCTTTGCTGTTATAGATCTTTGTTGTCTAGTCTATAACAGATCAAAAAGCGTTTAGTATTTTACTATCATCTATATAAATAATCTTTGTTCGGATTTTTCTCTTCAAATAGATATTGTTATTTTTAGATAAATCATATTTGTTTTTCATTGACCTCAAAGTATTCTTTTTTTCAAATATAATCCACAATTTACTGTTGCTTATTATACGTAACAGGACTTTCAATGACTTGAGGCACTTGGCTTTTCTTCGCTATTCTTTCTAGTAAGAATGATAAAAAGAAATAAAGATTATTTCATCGTATTGTTATATTAATAGAAGAAGTCATCTTGAATTGATAAAAATATATCGGTTTTTGATTTTACCACAAAATTGGTACATAATTCTTGTTATTTAAAGCATAAAAATAAAATAAAATAATTATTAAAAAAATGTGAATACTATTTTACTTTGGCTTCAACTAATTTTTTCTTTTACTCATACTATGCAGTACTCCAGATGTAATGAATGATGCTCGGTACAACATTTGACTCAATTATTTATTTAATATATATTCATAGATTTTTTTTGTTTTTTTTTTCAGGAAATGATCGTTTCGCATTGTACTTGAAGGAAATCAGTCAGTTGTCGACATTGAAAAGCTAACTAAGCTTCACAGTTCTTTTTATACTCACTTAAATAAAATGGATAGATTGAACTATAAGCAATAGACTTTGAATATCCAATCGTGGACGATATAAAAATAAATTTTTGATTGAAACTATGTTCATCTCTAATACTTAATACAATATCCTTAATCAGTGTATCTCTCACAAGACAAACTTGTCGATGAATTAAAATATCATAGTGAAGTTAATTTGATGGTTCAACTATATATGACAATTGACTTCTCTTAAGTGGCACAGCCTTACAAAAGACAGGATCAACGAAAAACAAAACCGAAAGGTGTCTATTCCTGAGATATAACATATTTTTCATTATGCACATTAATAGCATCTGTTTAATTCGAATAATAACAACATGTACAATAGCAATTATCAAAACGAGACATGAAATATATTGTCGAATCATTATAATGGTTTGATAATATTGGTTATCATATTTACTTCCAGTTGCACAGTAAAAACTTCCTTGATCATGTTTCTTTTCATCTTTCGAATCATCTTCATAACGGTTATCATTCGATATATATAAATATATTTGACCATTATCATCACAATATCAAGAACGGATGATTAGTTTTCTATAGTGTCCGATTTGAAGACTGTTTATTGAATCAAATATCTCGCTTAGAAAGATGACAAAGTGACAAATCATTCTTTCTTAAATACTTTCTAAGCATTTACAGTAGACATCATAGATGGGTAGCTCCGACTCCGGAGCGGCGACTCCACGGAGTGGAGTGATTAATGGGAAAGCTGGAGCAGAGTCGGAGCGGTATTTTTTTTTATTGAGAGCGGAGTCGGAGCGACCTTTTTTCTCTAGCTCCGACCATACGCTCCTTTTTTCGCTTTTCCCATATGAAAAAAAGTTAGAAGGGAGATCAGATTAAAAAACTTAAAATTCGTAAACAATTAATGCACTTGTAATCGAAAGTCGCTATAAAAGGTCAATATTTCAGATAGCATTTCGATCGATTTCGTTCAGTTTTGGATAGGTCCTATCAACTTCGATTGAAATCNATAAAATGGAGAAAAAAAAACTTCAAAGATATGATATTTTCAACAAAAGATTAAATTCTCGAGAAAAAAAAGCAAATAAGATTTCTTTCGAATTATCTAAGATTACATATTCAATATGAACATTGATTAACGAAAACAAAAAAAAAAAAAAAAATAAATAAATAGAAATGAGATTATTCTTAGAATTGTCAAAATAAAAATGATTATCTTTTTTATTAGAATTGAAAATTTTCTTTATCTAATAAATATATATTAATTAATTTGAATAATTAGAATATATATTTCGAGAATAATCAAAAAGAAAAATGTTTTTTTATTGAAATTATTGTAAAAGAGTTTATTTTAATTGAAAATATTTACTTGATGTCCAAGGAAAATCATCTGTTCGCCATAGACGCAATGTTTGTAAATATGGCATATAATTACTAAGATGATATACCAAATCTTTTCCTATATGAATTGACTCATTTGAACCAGCATGGCAGCTCTTAAGACTGAATTCGACATGTCGAACAGTATTCAATGCATTTTTTCTTAGTTTATCTGATGCCTAAAAATAAGAATAGAAATAAATATCAAATTATTAGATTTTATTTATTGAAAAAATGACACTTATAAGGGAATACTTCAAGTATTTAATCAAATGCTTTTTAGTTCCAACTCTTTACATAAGGTAAATTTCAGTGACGTATGAAAACCTCCAAAAAGATAAATTCGTTTTTAGATTTTCTATTTAGAATTATAGACATTTTACTTGAATTTTAGTTTATACCAAAATATATATTGACAAATTCAACAACAGTAGAATCTTCTGAAAATTTTAGTTCAAAAGAACATTTCCTTCACGCGATATTAGAGTCCGAAAAAAAAGAAAAAGTTCTACTTAGGGCATACCAAACGTAGTGGCAAAGGTATCTCAATTTCGTATAGAAAACTTGAAGAAATTTTCTTTTTTTTATAGACAGATAGTAAAAACGAAACTCTACATTACTACACTATTTGATCATTTTTTAATCTTATATCATAATAATAAAATTCTCGTTTGACTTGTTTAGCGATAATATGCAACAACCAGAATAATAATAATAACAACGATAAAAACGGATGAAAGCTTTTTGAATAATTTTGTAAAGAAACAAGATAGAGAACTGTGCTTTTCATCACAGGAGAGAGGAGATAAAAATGTATCGAATCGTAGATCTTAACGTTTTCTAAAATCATTTCTGAAATTTTCTGAATCAATTTTCTAGATATTGGAAAAATGTTTTTTTTGTTTAAAAAAAGTTAAGCAAAAAAATGATTTTTCTCGCAGTATTTCTAGAAAAATCAATTTCGAGTGCCGACAAGAATAACTATAATTGTTGAATGATAAAATATAAACCGGTAATATTTTCGTAGTTTTGTAAGTCTTCGATTGATGCTTTTAATATGCGCTTGATAATTGAAAATTCACTATGAGTGATTTACATAAGTACGCTTGTTTTTGAAGAAGGATAGTTGAACAACTTAAAAAATCGACCAGCAAGTCTTCAATATAAGACTTAATGTATGTTTAAACTCATCTTTGTTGTGGTGAAAGCTGTAGTTCTCTATCTTATTTCTATAAAAATTTATTTAAAAAACTTTCACCTATTTTTAGAGCCCTGCAAGGTATGAGTAACTTCAGGACAGGACAAGGTAGGTTGCAGATTATTGGGGCCATAACTTGTCAACCTTCAATAGAAATGCAGCCGCTACAATGCTTTAAAAATTCTAACGACTTATAGTAATGATTTTGAGCTAGATTAAATCATTTACAGATTTCTCCATTACGGGCGACAGTGATGTTTAAATTTCTTTTTGAGATATTTTATTCCAGAACATATCATTAGCATGTATTCTGAATTTTTCTCCTCTTTTTTACTCAAATACTGCACTTTTCTCAAGTTGACCATTCCATGAAATACTCTTAAGTGTTTCCAATATTAATAAGTTTCTATTGAAGAGGCCCTGCATATTATTTAATATTTACATTTGCGTTGGTCATAAGGATGTAGCAAGAATAGCAGAGTTTTCTATGTAATAGAAGTTCTACCAAAACATCTACTACCTGAAAAAGAAAAGTAGTCAAATTCACAGGTTTTTCTAGAGTAGATATCGTTTTTGTACTCTAAATAAACATCTGCTCACTTCAAATAGGATCTTCATCCAATTGTTTAATAGTATCTGTATCTTATGTTCTTCTACGTAGTTAATCTTCTCTGGTACTGATTACAGAACAACTAAACTTCTCTCGGAAAAGAATCCTTTCGTTTAAATATCCAAGAAATTTTTTGGAAAGCAAGGCAGGACAAGTTAAGAAAATGTTTGCAGTGCTAGTTATAGATTGTGAAAAATGCGTATCCTGCAGGCCTCTACCTGTTTTTACTGTTATTATTATTATTATCGTTACACATCATCACTAAACAAGTCAAACGAAAATTTTATTATTATGATATGAGATTAATAATGATCAAATAGTATAAAAATGTAGAGTTTCGTTTTTACTATGGGTCTAAATAAAAAAGAAAATTTCTTTAGACATTCTATACGAAATTGAAATATATTCATCATTAATTATGATATACTTTCAGTATATCATGATCTTATATAAACAAGTGAATATTGGTGTTTTTAGATGGTTGTCAGATTTTGTTTTATTTAGAATAAAATTTAATTATATATAAGAAGTGAATTTTAAAAAAATCAATTTAATAAAAACTTACATATTCAATAAGATGTAAAAACCATTCATATTGTTGCATTCGAAGAGAAATCAGTTGAATTGGCATTGAAATAAGATAGGCAAGTATTTGTGCACGTAATTTGTTTTTAGTGTTAGAACTTTCATAATGTGCTAAAGATATAGAATGGTTATATTTTTTAAATGAAAATTTTCATATATTTAAGAAAATTTTTTATTAAAAAAACAGGTATATGATCATGAAAAAGAAAAGTAGAAATGCTGATTTAAATTATTTTTTATGATTGAAAATTAATTTAAAATATCTTATATTTTCTTAAATGATTTTAATCGTAATAAAGATAAAAATTCGTTCTTTTCAAGTTTTACTTTAGATATTCAAATTTACTATTGTTTATTTGAACATGTCATTTCAACGAATAGTATGTTTATGTTTTTGAAATGAGCATTGACAAACATTTAATGGTTCACATAAATTTAGAAATATATTCGAAAATATGAAGAAAATAAAAAACTTAAGCTGATGTAAGTTTGTTTGAAAGATTTAAATATTGAATTTTAATTAGATTGAAAAGTAGTGATATGAAAATCAATTTTAATAAAAACTTAAACAAATTTCTTATCATTTTTTTCTTCTTTCAGTTTAGTTTCCTTTCTCCTTTTCTTTTTCTGACAAAAAAATCCTTTTCTAAATGATATCAACTGTTTAAATATATTGGAGACGTGAATATTATTGAAAATTAGAGCTCATTAAGTTCTACTCAGACCTCAATCTGAATCGATTGAGTTCTGAAACTGTTGAACTCGATGAACTCTAGAGAGAAAAAAACTTTTTTTTAATATCTTTTGAAGAAATAGATAGTTAGAAATGTGATTAAATAGGATCGAACAAAAAAAGCAAAGAAAATATGTTTATGGAATTCAAAATGTGATTTATTCCTCAAAAATATATTTGACAAATTTTCTTCAATCTATTCTTTTAATAACATCTTTAACAATGAAATGATACATGAGAAAGAAAAAAAATAACAAATCGTTAATTTGAAGATTTTTTCAATTGTTCTCAAATCGAAGTGAACATTACAACAACAACAAAAATCTTTTAATTGATTTTTTTAACATTTTGTATTTTAGTAAATATGTTCTCAATAAAAACATAATTTATATTTAAAATAATAACATATATAAGAAGACTCAATATGTGAATATGCACATATTTATTTTATGTAACCAATGCACATTTATCTTAGAAATATCTTCGTTGGATTTCAATGAAGAAAATTTTTTTTTTGTTCGTATTTATTCTATTTTAAGTTAAAATATGGTCTTAATTTTTATGTTAAATTATTTGAAACGTTTCTAAAAGAAATACAAAATCTTAATTGATTGTTGTTTTTCTATGATCTATCATTGAAACATCTTTCATTAATATGTCATTTATTCAGTGAGGTTCTATAAAATGTTGAACTTATATCAGTTTATCTTATATTAAGTAAATTATCAACTACTTAATTCGAATCTTTCTCAAAAATGTTCATCCAACTATTGGTATCAATGAGAGATATTATGATCTTTTATTTTTCCATTTTACAATCCTACCTGAGTGTAAAGAAATTATTCTTTTTCTTTTACTGATTAAATTTGGATACTAATAGTATTTCATATTCATGAAATTGCAGGATGTTGAAATGTAGGGAGATGCATCAACCGTACGAAATGCTCTATCTCTCTCTATACATAATTCTCGATTCATCTTGAGGAAGGAAATATGTACATACACTCACAACCTATTTTTGTTATAATGAAATTATTTGTTTGTAGTTAGTTTAACATCTTCTTACACTTCTTTAGCATCTTCGATTTCTTATATATTTGAAATTTCTTGAAGACGATCTTGAATATTATCCATCATGTACAGATTGATATTTTTCATAATAAAATTCTACTTCAACGTAAATAAAAGACTAAACTTCTAGCGTATATTTTAGAGAAATATTTTAGTTTTGCATAGAAAATTCGAACATATATTTTTGTGAAAAGTTATTTATCTTCGTAGTATATCAATCAAAAATAATAAGTTTGCACAAATACTCATTAAAATTGAGGCGATTTTTATAATAATGATAATCGAAAGAAAGCAAATGTTTTATTATTGTCTTAAAAGAAAATGACTAAAACTTACCAGAACCACGAAAAAGAGACGGTCCAAAATCAAGTCTTGTCACATATCGAAAACGAATATCACTAAGTTTGCAATGTTCTAAATCGATTGATGATTGCAAAAATACAAAATATTCTGAAACAATAAATGGTTTCTGTTCTCCTAAAAAAAATATAAATATTCTACTTAGTTAAATTTGACAAATTCTCTAAACTAGAGAAATATTCTTATAGAGCATTATTTAAACTAGAAGAATTTCGTTTCAATAATCTCTCGAATTTTTTTTAGATTTATAATGATGCCAAAAGTCTTAATGATGCTTTTTTTTTCCTTAAGAAAATTTCTCATTTAGCATTACTAAATGAGAAGTTTATATTGTTAAAATCTGATTTAAGTCTTTGTTTATTTAGATTTTAATCACGATAACACCAAATCGTTATAGTTTACTGTTTATATGTTACTTTCATCAACATATATTTAGATATCATCATTTAATAAAATTATGATATGAAAATTTTGGTAGAAATATTTTTTAAGGCCATAATATTTTCAGTCAATCGTCTTTAAAAAATATTTAAGGGTTACATGAATTTCGGGCCACGGAATTTTCGGCCCGGTCCGAAATTCCGGTGAATTTTCGGGTCGGGCCAAAAGTCCTAGAGGAATTTCGGTCCATCCTTAGAATGATCTCATTGACCCCTAAAAAAAAAGTTTAATTTTTTTAATTAATTGCTAGATATCATANTGATATGAAAATTTTGGTAGAAATATTTTTTAAGGCCATAATATTTTCAGTCAATCGTCTTTAAAAAATATTTAAGGGTTACATGAATTTCGGGCCACGGAATTTTCGGGTCGGGCCAAAAGTCCTAGAGGAATTTCGGTCCATCCTTAGAATGATCTCATTGACCCCTAAAAAAAAAGTTTAATTTTTTTAATTAATTGCTAGATATCATAGTGCTGAGCAGGACGGTGTGTTGCTAAGCAGGACGACGTGTTGCTGAGCAGAACGGCGTAATGCTGAGCGGGACGACTTACTGCTGAGCAGGACGATATGGGCGTGGACATAGTTGTGGACGCCGGTCAACGCAAAAAAGATACGAACATACCATATACACCTGCACCCACTCTAGCACCCCACAAGCTTACACCTACACCCACATCCATGTTATTCTGCTCAACACTGCGCCACGCCGTCCTGATCAGCACCACGTCGTCCCACTCAGCACTATGCCGCCCTGCTCAGCACTACGATATCTAGCAATTAATTAAAAAAATTAAACTTTTTTTAGGGGTCAATGAGGTCATTCTAAGGATGGGCCGAAATTTCTGTAGGACTTTCGGCCCGGCCCGAAAATTCATCGGAATTTCGGACCGGGTCGAAAGTCCGGGCCGAAAATTCCGTGGGCCGAAATTCTGGTCTCCCATATTTAACACAGTACAATATTTACCCATATCAAATTTAATACAATCTATATGAGGAAATAGAATATCAAACTGTTTAAGAAATAAATAAATTGAAGGACATAAATCAATCTGTATATATTTCACATATTGCCAATCGAAAATAGTTGGATAATCTCTTTAAAAAAAAAAACATATAAGAAATTGAAATAGATTTTTTTTCAAAAACGAAAGACTTTACATAATCCCATCAAAATATCTCGGTCTAATTATTGTAGTTGATGATATATGTTGACGTGACATAATTGGATCAAAGAAACATTTTACATTTGTCCATTGACCGTCAGCAAAATAATAATGAGATTTAAATGAATCAATTATTTGATCAATATCATTTGATAATAATATTTTACATTTTGATACAATATAAAAATCAAAATTAATTAAACTAGTTAAAATATCAGGCATACAATATTTATGAAGAAAATTTCCATCAATTACACAGTTTTGATTCGTTATTTCTTTTATATCTAAACTAATTTTCAATTTTTCAATATAATTAACTTGATTCATAATCCATTTTAAATAAACTAATTGGTTGTCACCAAAAATCTTACTTTTTAAAGTAAAACATTTTAATTTTGGTATCTAAAATAAATGTTTATTAATTCATTTTATAATATTTATTCAAAAATGATTGAATATTTATGTTTTCTTTTCCTCATATGAACCATTTCAATAGTTTTTATCTAGTCAAACTCATAGAAGATTTTAAATCTGTAGAAATCTATTTAGAAACACTTTTTTAGAAACTTAAAAGTTCGATATTATTATAGAATCTGAAGGGAAATTTCCGATCAAAGTCTATGTATCTCCAAAACGAACTAAAAAACACTTATAATATGAAGTATGTAATAAATGATAGTCACTACTATGATCCAAAAGCAAAAAGAAAAAAAGATTTTCGTCAGTATATAGAGCAGTTATCTCGATAATAATCGTTCATCATGAAGAAATTTATAGTGCAAACTACTGAGTGGACAGATTGAATGGTCTTGATTTATTTTGAGTCTTTCACTCTTTTTAAAAAATAGGTTCAAAATGCTGTACTGAGTTCATTCGAGAGAGAATTCAATTCTCTACAAACATGTCGACTTTATCTTTCAAAGAATTTTCTATGTCGGCATAAAAATCAAAAGATTACCATCCACTCAATTGTTCATCTTCGGTTTGGATTTGGTGAAAAACATCGACAAAGAAAATGTTGAATATCAAAATATAATTCTATTACCTTCGGCGTTTTCTTTTTCAAGGTTATGCTATTTTTTCTTTCGACATTTTTCTTTTCGACGTTTTCCACCAAATCCTTCGATTTCTTATTTTTCTCAATATACCAAACGAATCCTGTGAGCGTATATTTATGAAGATCAATGTTAATAGTACAAGTATTATAGAACAAAATATAGAGATATTTCTGCTCTATATAGTCATGGTCTTTTCAAGGTCCATAGCGTTTTGATTCAGGAGAAAAAAAGCTTGTAATTAACAATTAAAGGTGTTTTTGGATGTATTTCACAACAAATAATGGTTTTATAAGTTAGATTTGCTTATGAATGATGAATTTTCATAGTATCAGACGTAGAACTTAATTTCAAAGAAAATAGTTTAACTGTTAACTTGAATAGTTGAAACATTTAAGATGCTTTGAATTTTTCAAAAGACAATGACTTCGATCGATTGAAAAAATGGATTGTTTTGATACTTTTACATTTTGTATTCTAGAAATTTTTCTCTAAAACATTTGTCCTTAAACTTTGAAAGCTAGATCGAAAAATTCAGAATTTTATGTTGAATCTTTTAATGTATTTTAAATTTTCGGTGGAGCCGTTATTGAAAACTTCTCAGTTTTGTCGTCTTTTTCTCTGTCGAAACTATACAAATGATGTGTTAATTTGTTTATTTTGACGCCGAACTGAAATACTTTTTTGGAGAACAAAGCCGACAGTTTTTGTAAAAAATTAAATTCTCAATCGAATGGACTCATTACAACTTTCTAAAACTATTGTTAAACGCGTAAAAAGACTCAAAATAAATCACATCTGTTTAATCTGTCTTACTCAATATTTATTCTACAAAATAAGAATCAGAGAAACTAATATTTCTGATTTAAATTAATTTCAATGACAAAACGATTCTTGCTTCTAATCGAGTTATCATTCAATGGTTTCAGTGTCAACAAGCATAATGATTGCACGGAAAATACACTTGCATTTCGATTAAATCAATAAAATATTCATGTTAATTATAATTTATCTTTTTACTAACAAATTGTCTATATTCTACCTCAAAGACAAATAGTGAAAAGTCAAACTCGATCTATGTATAAAGATATTAATATAGATAAGAAAAAGGGTTTTGCTCATATTGAAATAATGACGAAGAGTTTGTTTGATGATATATGAAGACAAACACAAAATCTACTTTTTTTATTTTATCTAACGATAACTAAATAATGCCTAATTTATTTTACCTTATCATACCAATTGATGCTTGATGAAAATTTTTTTATCATCGGTTCATATATGCAATCTTCCTTGACTAATGTAGATTGAAATTGAACTGATAGAATTTCAAGAGAAGGTAAACGTTCAATAATATGTTCAAGAAAAAAACCATGAATTAAATGAATATGCAAATAACGAAGACTTGTACAATGAGTAACAAAGTCATGGTTAATTAAATTTGAAGAAATATTAGAAGATGATAAAAAACATTCGTGGATATTAACCGTAGATCTGTCGTTTGATATATCAAGATTAAGAGAAGTTAATTGACATTTGACAGAAAATAGATTACGAATAAATTCTTTAACCATAAATATAAAATTTGATTCTATCAAATAAATGAATAAAAGTATTTCAACTTGTTCTATATATATTGAAATATATTCTTTAAGATTCTATTCTGTAGAAATATTCCAAATTAAAATAATTGATGATATAAAAGTTTCTGAATAACATGATTCTTTATTTTTCGACCAATTCAAAGAGTCAGAAGAATTTTTCAAACATTGGGTTGAAACGAAAGTTTTGTGATGTTTCTGAATCTATATATTTAGAATTATTATAGGGAAGGCATATGTCTGAAATTATGAGTAAACCTTTGATAAGTCAAAAAATAAAGTCTGAAGGAAAACAGTAGAAGTAGCAGATTCAGAGATGAAAATCTGATCATATGCCGTTTGAAATTGACCACATGTCATTATTCATGTATCATCTAAGAACTTTCTTATTTTCATCATAGAGGCGTTCAGTTCAGCTTACCTTTCTGTTCACATTATATTCCAAAATTATCTCAATCAGCACTTCAATATGTGCTTTTCATAGTAAGCTCGCCTCAGTGGCATTGTGAGTGATCACACCTAGTTCAAAAAAATGTCTGATTTTTTCCAGCAGAAAATGCTTAAAAAGAAGCTGATACTATGTTTTATGATCATGTTCGTTCCTCATCATAAAAATCCTAAATCTGCCACTGACTTGCCCTTATTGAACATTCTCTATTGTCAATTTTTTGCATAGCGTAAAGAACGAGATGATCCTTTAAAAATGAGCTAAAGTTTTCAAGACGTCAATGAGTATTTTACTAAAAACCTTATTATTGACAGAAGCTTCTCATAAAACTAATGAGTACGATATAATTTTATCGAGATATATTTGTAATTTTCTTTAATTCATTTGGATCAAATTTTTTCTTCTACTTTTCAAAGATTCGCTCATACTTCCTAATATATGATACCGGTGCAAATTATGAACATAGATTCAGAAAGAGAACAAAATTTTAGTTACAACCCAATGTTTCATATTTTTTATTAATTCTCTTAATCGATTTGAAAAATGAAGAAATATTCTGTCCAGAAATTTACACAATACTCATGAAAGATGAGAATTTTTTTTCGAGAAGCAAAAAACATTCAAGAAAAATTTAAGTTTACCTTGCCCACAACGAATCACTCCGGATCTTATTTTACGTTCAAATGTATCTTTATCAATTGTTAATATTAATTCATTCAATTGATATTGAACGAGTGACCATAAATTTTCAATCAATCTTTCTGTGAAATAACATTTAGTAAGAATAAGTTTTTTCAGATTAATAAAACGAAGAATTTTTTCATTGATTGAAAGATAAACATCTTTTACTAATAACAATTCCATTATTATTCATTGTAAATTTTAAATGAATTAGAGAATTAAATCGTTTATTTAATGACCAAAATGATTCAATCATTTCAAACCATCTTATATGAGTTAATATTAAAAGAAGAATTTCATTTGGCAGATTTTCTAATTTATTTATCATATTATCTAAAAAGAATTAATTAATTATTATTTTCATAAAAATTTAATGCCTTTTTTCAGATTAATGACATCCTCATTCAATCATGTTAACAATCTAAGGAACGAAAAGAATTTTATTAGCTAATATAATTCAATCAATAAAACAAAATATCGATAAGAGGACGAAAGGTGGCGTACATTTTCATATTGATGAGAGTGATGATTTAATTCGAATAAATATTGCAATTTATTTATTGAATGAAAGGTACACAAGGAAAAGAACAAAAATAATAGTTACGTAGGAAAATTTAGAATGAAATGCAAAAGTAAGATAGAAGATTATAAATCAACAAATATTGAAGAAGCTAAAGGAAATGTGGACGTTGGTGTGAGGCCACCGGTCCATGGATTTAGATCCTCACCACTAAAACATCTACAAATACACTCTTGAAATGAGATTATTTCATTCAGATTTTATTTCAAATAGCTCTCTGAAATATTAAAAACGGATAAATATCTTTTTTGACATTTATTGGAACTAAGAAAATTGTTCTATGTCTAATAGAAAGTCATTAGAAATCTTTTATTTATAAGTGCCTCATTATATTTCGAACCCTATCATCATCTTATGCGCTAATTTACTACCCTGGGACAGTGCTTACAATCTTTATTAAACTTCATATTTTCTAATAATTGATTTGTCTTTGTGCATCTGAACAAATAATAATGGTTGATTCAAAAGTTTCGATCCCTCTCAGTAAACCGATGATATCTATAACAAACTTATATGAAGTTATTGATCAAATTATATCATTTTGTAGAGGAAGATTAGAGGTGTCATATGAAAAAATCTAGTTCGAAATATGCAAACCTATTACAATTTTATGGTCATTTTACTAATCTTGGGTGAATATTTTTGCATTACAGTTTTGGAAAAAAACAAAAAATCTTTAATGTTTGATTCTTTAGAGTCGAGACAAATATTATATTCTACAGATTTTTGGCAGATGTTTTTATATGGTTCGATAGAGTTCAACAAGCTATACAAGAATATGAATATGAAGAAAAATTCGAATCCTTTTACATGTATAAAACTCGAAAGAAACCACGCAGACTAATAATAATCTTACATATCTTGCACGAGATTGTAGGCTTAACTTTCAAAATCTTTAGTTGATCGACTGTTAATTGATATTTGGAGATGCAGTGTCATATACTGAAGCTGAAAATAACTCTTCTGAGCTGCCTGAATAGATAGAACAGTCAACCAGCTAAAGCTATTGAAAGCTCAACGTAATCTCACCAATATTTGATATATGACATTTCTAATAGTCTTTCTGGGTTTCTTCAATTTTTATATTGAAAATACGATCAAAAGTTATTTAAACATTCATATTATTGTAGAGCTTTTCGACCTCTATCGAATCATGTAAAAATATCTAGAAAACAATATGTCGCTTAAGATGTTTCAAACATATTTTGCTTTTTTCAAAAAATATAACGTAAAAATTTGTACTCAAGATTACTAGAATGACCATAAGATTGTAATAGATTTATGTATCTCGAACTATTTTGTTTTGTAGATGATAGCTCTAATCTTCCGCTACAGAATGGCATAATTTGATCAATAATTTCATATAATTTTGTTATAGATATCATCGATTTACTGAGAGGGGTCGAAACTTTTAAACCACCATTTATTTTACTTCTACAATTGAAGCTACCAGATATTCAGGTTGAATAGTTTTTCATAACTGAACTAAATGATTGATTTTAAGTACAGCCAGTTCTTTTTGAGTATTCTATCTTTTCTTGTTTTGTGAAAGTGCACAATATTGATTACTTATGGGTGTGGGTGTGGGTGTGGGTGTGGATGTGAATGTGTATCGAATTACGAGAAAAACCACACCCACACCCACACCCTTAATCCTTCCGATGCTGTTTAGAAACTCATGTACCTCGATGACAAAAAAACGATATTGATTTATTCTACGAAATTCCAAGTCTTATCTTGAAGGTCAGAGATTTTCAATAATTTCAATAAAAATTATAACTAGACTGTTATTCTTTCAAAAACATGATATTCTGCTTGTGGTAACAAATGTGTCACATGCACAATAGACACACTCTGGTGACGCACATTACGAAAAGCTTAAATAGCATTGCTTTCCAATAAACTTTGTTTGTCATCACATATCTAGGAAAGATAACGACCAGAAAAAGATAAAACTACTTTGTGTCGATAGATATCGTAAGATTGTTTCGTGGACCACGAATGATTCGAATACCATTGACATAGACAACCATTCTTAGTGAAAAGCTAATGATAGCATCGGACGTTGTTTCGATTTCCATTTTGTAATAACACGCACAAATTCTTAAATAAGAAAATACATAGTAAACATATCTATTTGATAATAAGTTTCGAAAGCATTTCAGAAACAAGACACAAACCAGTCGCCAGTAATTGTATCCATTATAGGACGAATATGAAAACTTTTTTCTAGACTAAAACAGATCAACTATGATATGTGTATGATAGCGATTGGAATTAACAGAAGAATATTGTATTTGTCTTCGTGAAAAAGAAAACTTTTACATGTTTTATTAAATAGAGCAATATTATAGAATGCAGAATGTATATGATGGAAACACATGCCTTTCTCATTCTTCCACGAATAACATATATATAGAAGTTGATCACGAGTTCTGTTGACTAAGATATTTTGAAACAAGAAACCACTTGCTGTCGTATCTTTCAGAATACAGTGTAATATAAAAGTCACTATCATGCTGAACGTGGTGGCTGTCACTATGTACATACCAATATACTTTGTTCATAGATATTGTAATAGACACTCAAAAATGAAATTTAAAATGGCTCGCTGATTTATAACAATGAAATATAGTAGACAGTACGGTGCTTCTCTATTTTTTTCCTGCCTTACGCGAATCAGATCGGCTATTTTACTCGACAAATGTACAGTGCACAAGAAGAAAAAATATCAAGTAGTCTAACAATGCAGAGAATATAGTATTCATTTTTTTTTGCTTTGTCACCGATCATTGAATACGTTCATTTCTCTATACAATGGACTAAATTTGGGATAGCACGAACTTTCCATATAGCTACATGCGTGCCATTACTACTTCAAAAAGTATTGATAACAGTTGAAACTTCTGACCATTAGAACTGGCTATCTAAATTATCTGATGCTATTTGATGTGGCCACTTTAGCATTTACTACTCTTACGAGTACTGCATTAATTAAGCATTTATTGCATACGACTATTTTGTTGCTCAATGAAAAATCCTTGATCATAGTTGGAGTAAATAACGTTCAAGTAATGCATGCATTCCAATTAATTCAAGCAACTACCAATAACTTCTCATCGATATCAGCTGATAGTTTTAATGTTAATAAATATCAACAAATAGTAATATTGATTCCGTACAAAGATAATGATGTTGTGCTAGTCTATAGTGATGATAATGACACAAAAACTTGATAGCTGTAAACTTTAATATGTTAAATATAGAATCGTGACATTACTTGCATGACTTAACTAAATTCATCGATTTAAAATATAACAGTTTAATCAGTCCATAGATTATTTTTAATCGAACTGTTTGAATTTGAGTTTTTTCGTATAGTTAGTGTTCTCCTTTTATAATGTTATTTTTTTTATGAACTCTCGTTGCAATCCACATTGTAAGAATAAAACTTTTGATAATCATAATGTAAATGTTTCAGTTTATTATAGCTTCAAATTTAAAAATTGAATAGAGTTTTCGACAATATTTTCAGATTTTCAATTATCTCAATTTCGAAAAGATGATGATAAATATTACTTGTTCCTAAACGTGTTATCACTTTGTGAACTGCAACACTCTTGCTTATCGTCTAGTAAAGTATCTGAATATTTTGATTTAAGTATCAAGTATAAAACATGCGCACAAATCACTTTCAAATTGTATGTGTTTCCTGTAGAAAAATGACAATTATTTTATCAGGATGAAAGATAAGCATAAATATTTTGTCACAGAATCATGGTGATCGGATAAAAAGTTATTCTTTCATGCCATTATATTATGAAGTTGAGTAAAAAATATAATTATTGGTTTATCATATGTTTTTAAATGTTTATCTGATATAACGGAGAACCAAATTTTACAATTGTTCATGGGATTCTCTAATGGAAGAAAAGAAATTCACAAAAAAAAGTACACAAAATATGTTCTAGTGGAAATTCAAAGAATTCTTGTTTAAATATAAGTACGAGGTCATGAAAGAAAATCATGGATGTTAAGACGTTGTCACTGATGTTGATTGTTTCGGATTCTCTCTTTTGGTGTAGAAAAGAAGATAAGCATCTTTGGAAACGATATCAGTATCGAGACAGAACGATGATACAAATGAATCATTAAATTCGTACCATTCACTTTTACCGTTTGATTCGTGTCGAGCACATGCTATGTAATGACCTCCAAGCATTGATCCAGTGTGCTTACAAACAGCGAATAAATCGTAAATGATTTCTTCTGATGATGAGACAAAACTACTTAAGTTGAGTCCATTTATTGGATAGTCGACAAATGTTTCTATTTTCTGTTGTAAAGGATCTTCCTGTGAAAATCGCTTGAATTGAATAATAAGTATAGATGGAAGACTACAAAGATGAAGTTGTTTAGTTACTCTTGTATTTTTTTTACATGTTTCTTGTTGACATGGCCATAAATCTTCTAGACTTTCAATTGAGCAGAATTCTCGAAGACAACCTTCAAGATTTAATTTTTTTGAAGCTTTATTGAATCGATCATATTGGAAACTGCTCAAATACTCGTCTTTTTCAATAAGTAATACTTCTCTCGTAGATAATTGATTTAGTGACATTTCTGAGTCAAGTTGTCCATCATCTGTCATAGCTATAATAGTAGTGAGGAAACTACGATAAGGAAAAGATTCAATAAAGGCTTGAATAAGATTTTTAACTTGAGCAGTCTCGGGTACACTCACGTGTGCTAACTCATGTCCACCATATCTCGGAATAAATGTGATCGTATATATACGTCCTGGTTGAGTGAGTGGCAACGGCAAGAAGCTGATTGGATTTGTCGTTTTTTCTTCATGTTTACACTCAAGACAAGTAATAGTCGATTGTATTTTTCCAAAAAATAGTTCTTCAATGATGGTATTTGATTCATTGCCATTTTTTTCTTTTAATTCTCTATGTATTTCATTGAGGAGAAAAGTCATAAATTCTTGAGCATCTTGCTGGTCCGAAGTAGCAAAACGAGGAGCCTGAATTCCAATTATTTCTCTTAGGTGAGTGGGCCGAAATGAATGGTAATAATTCATAGTTTTATTGGGTAACCATAAATTTCGCAATAGATCAGCATATGCTCCAGTCACTGTACCGATTGTATAAAACTGATTCCATTCAGTATCTATGCATTTATCATCATCAGAAACATCCGAAGTAAGGCCATCTAAAAAGAATTGAGTTAATGATTTTGTATGAGTGACACATTGAAGTGCACTGTTCATATAGCATGTATTTCCAAGATTATATAAACCAATGGGCCTTGAATGAAATCGCTGCGTTTCTAGCAGTCTACTCAGTGTAGAGGATGTAGTAAGATAACTGCTCGTAATCGGAGGATAGAATGGCGTCTCATCTATTGTTCTAACATCAATTTCATCACCGGGCTTGATTCCAAAATCAGCTAAATGTCGACTCAATTGTTTATCATCAATGACAATCGTTCCAGATGACATATGAAATTTAGCTAACGATCGATTTTTCTTGAGAGCTTTTATCTTTTCAATCAAATCATCCACAGTGTCGTTTACTGAAGCTTCAGTAATAGTACAATCGGATTTCGAGAATTTAACATTGACCGTGACGTCACCTGGTTGGTTTTTTGCAATTAGCGACGAAGATCTTGGTGCCCTTTTAATTTGAGTATTCACAGTAGATGTTTGATTATTAGAAGAAGCCAAATGAACACTAGCATAAATGGTTTCACCAGGATTTATACCTAGACCTGAAAGCATTTCATTTGGTCTATTCAAGTCTATTTCTTCATGCATGCGGTCAAATAGCTTAAAATAAACGAGAGAATGATCTTTGAATTGTTGTTCGATTTTATTTTTCAGCTCATCAATCGTAGTTGTATGCAGTACATCAAGCAGCTGTGTTCCATTAATGTGAGCGCACTCGACATGAACTGTTGATGATGAACGTGATGGGACAATGTGAACAAAAATACTATCTTGGTCAGTGATACTCAGTTCACTCAGTAGTTTGTCAGAATCTGATAAAATATTGAGTTCGGTATCAAGAAGTGTTACGAGATGAATTCGTTCCCTTGCAATTGATTCCAAGGAAAATATTTTTAATACATGTTCAAGTAGCATTTTTAATGTTGTTTTAGTCTTGTCCCATTGATATTCTTCTTTTTCAAGATTATTGGGTCCCCATAGCGTTAAATGATAGAGTCTTGGTGAAGCAACAGTAGTTGATGGTTCAAAATAGAGAATATCTCCCTTCTTCATGTGAAGTTGATGTAATGTCATGTTTGTATTTGATGAAGGTGCAGGAAAACGTTGATTATCAATAACTAAGGCAACCAATGAAATATCATCGGAACAAATATCGTCAAGCTCAGCAGTATTCAAAAACCTTATTTTAACATCATGAATAGTGTCTATCAATGAAAATGTAGCACACCTCTCTACATTCAAATTTTGTCGATGGTCCTTATAGCAAAGTTGAAGTTCTATGTATTGACTTGATTGGGCATTTCGTGAATCATATGTGCTTCTTTGTCTATTTGAAAACGCGATTTGTCTCTCGGAAGTGGTGGCATTTGCACGTGAGACTGAACATGAGATTGGTGGAATGATTTCGACGTCAATCCACGACCGATCTGTGATTTCCGAATCAATTAATAGTTTCTCAGGGTTTGATGACGTATCGAGTTCTTCAGAGCGATAAAATAGATGAATGCGTTGACGTTCGATCGATTCTAACGAAAACGTTTTTATAACATATTCAATTAGCATTTTTAATGTTGCTGTAGCCCTGTTCCATTCATATTCTGATTTTTCATGATTAGGTCCCCATATTATTAAACAAGAGGATCTTCGTGATGCAGCTGTAGTTGATGGTCCAAAATAGAGAACATGTCCTTGTCTAATGTTAAGTTGGTTCAATGTCTTATGTGTACTTAATGAGGGTGCAGAAGAACGTTCATTACCAAAACCTAATTCAACTAGTGAAACATCGTCAGGAAGAATATGACTAAGATCTGCAGTTTTCAAAAACTGTTTAATAACGTCACGAATTATAGTTGTTGGTGAGAATTTAGTTTTCACTACTTTTTTAAAATTTTGTTTGCGATCAGTGTATTGCAGTTCAAGTTCTATGCATTGACTTAATTCGGCATTTGGTGCGTCGTTGGAGTTTATTTGTTCAATCAAAAACGAGAATTCTTTCTCGGAAGTGATAGTATTTGCAACCGAGTCCGAAAACGAGATTGGTGGAATGATTTCGACGTCGATGAACGATCGATCTATGATTCCCGAATCAATTAATAGTTTGTCAGGGTTTGATGACAGATCAAGTTCTTCAGAGCGCTGAAAAAGATGAATGCGTTGGCGTTCGATCGATTCTAACGAAAAAACTTTGATAATATGTTCAAGTAGCATTTTTAATGTTGTTGTATCTCCGTTCCATTCATATTCTGCTTTGATAGTTGGACTGGGTCCCCATATCGTTAAAAGAAAGGATCTTGGTGAGACAACTATTGTCGATGGTTCAAAATAGAGAACATGTCCTTGTCTAATGTTAAGTTGGTTCAATGTCTTGTGTGTGCTTAATGAGGGTGCACGAGAACGTTCATTACCAAAACCTAATTCAACTAGTGAAACATCACTAGGAGAAATATAGTCAAGCTCAGCAGTTTTCAAAAACCTTTTTATGACGTCACGAATAGTATCTGTCAATGAAAATAGAACATACTTCTCTACTTTCAAATCTTGTCGATCATCGTTATAATGAAGTTGAAGTCCTATACTGGAACTTGTTTCAATATTTGATAAATCACTAGTGATCCTGTGATCATCTGAATACGATACTTGTTCATAGGACATGATGATATTTGCAATTGAACAGTAGTTAAGTGATGATGATGATGATTGACATGGTTTTTTATTTTAAATCAAACAAAATTAATCATCTACAGTATAAAAACGTAAATATTCACAAGGAAGAAGATGTAATTTTTTATTCTGAAAATATGATAACATGTACCTTTTAGAAATAATTATATTCAACTGTTTTTGAATAAAGAATAGCTATGTTCTGAGTCATTCTATGAAGTTTATTGGGAAAAGACAGAAGAAATATCATTTACTACTTGATCTTTTCTCACTTGATAGTTCTTCATGGCTCATTGACATATTCATCATGCAAATGATAAAGATATGCGAACCTCGGCAATGCCAAATAATATTTTGTGTGACTTACGCGTTCAAACTTTACTGAAGAATTTGAAAAAAAAATGCATACATGCTTCTTTTTTTGTTTCTCTTTGTTACAATATTTTTGATCGTCTCAGTTTACCTCCTGCCTTTCCATGTGCACCTTGAGAAAAAATATGATTATTGACGACAACATCAAAAGAATAACAAATGTCGACATCAGCATGCAACGAAAGGAGAAAAATCTAGTTTTTTTTCTGTTCTGTTTTCTTCCTAATCGACTTTCAAAACTTGTCTGCATTATTTATACTAATTGTGACACTATATAGTTAGAAAAAAAGATAACAAAAATATTACTAAAACAAGTTTTCAAGTTTGTACATAGAATATTAATTCTTATTATTCGAATAGATTAATAATTAACGTAAGATTTTATACAATGTATGATTACTAAGTTATCAATAAATAAAAAAACACTTCAATTTTATTTAAAAAAAAACACAAAATTGGGGGAGTTTTTTATCGATTTGAATCTAAATATCATTATGATATGATGAACATGCCATTTACAAATAAAGTTTTTCTGTGGAAAGCGTAACGATAATTGACATTTACAGTTTGATTAAATAATCAATGGGTTTTAAATCTAAGAAAACTTATGTATTCGTATATTAGAGAATCATAGAAAATGTAAAAAAAAACCCATATATATAAATTGTTGACCTGACTTTGTGATAATTGCTAGGAATTTTCAATTATCAAAATTTTCGTTTTTAAACTTGAGTCATCGTTCAATTATTGACATTGATAGCTGATTCACAGCTATCAATGTTTCCAGGATATTTTCAAAGAAGACATCATATTTAATTCAGTCAACCGTTATTATCGAATACAATATGCTACTAATTGGATACTTTAAGTAATCTATTTTCTTTAAAATCCATTTTCAGATGTTAAAAAGAACTATTCTACTATTGAAACATTCGATTAAAATAAAACTTATGTAAAAATTAACGCTCGTTTCATATCCACTAATATTAAGTATTTTTTACAAAGTTTTTTAATTTAGACAGATTTGTGTCTTATCAAATAATCCAACAACACCATTTCTTATATATGATCAATGAAAAAATCAATGAAGAGATTATACTGTTATTCGAATTAATTGTCGAGTAGAAATATATTTCTAATTTCTTACATTGTTAAAGATAATAAAATATTCGTAATTATTATTGTGCAACTTTCATTTATCAAATTTGATTTACATGATCTTATGCTCGTTTATTATCTTACACAACAAACAGTAACTGGTATCGACTAGCAATTATCATCTCTTTTTGGTATTACGACAAATTAATGCAACTTGATCATGTATAATATACGAAGAGCTACATAAAAACTCAAACGAGTGCAATCATTTATTTTATTTTGGAGAAATCTATTGTGTACTTTTATTAAACAAAGACAATATTAGCTGAAAAGTCTATAAATATATCTAAATTGTGTAGATTTACAGTTGGATCAAACATATATGTACACCGTGCTTATGATTATCTTTATTTGATAAAAAGCATCAATTAATTATTGAGATGAATTGAAAAACACGGTTAATATCACTGTTAATATCAGTGACGGATTCAGGATTCTAGTGATGAGGCAGCGATTATACTAGACAATGTCTTTTGAGGTAATGTGAATATTTTTTTCAAAGTCAGCCAGGTAATGTCATTGCGTACATACGATCCTCTGTACGATTTTAATACAAAACATCCAGAAAGTTTTGAACAAACAGCTTTTATTAAAACTAAACAATGAGCAGTAAAACGTAACGATTAAGAAGACGCTTAGATTTAAAAAATTCATCAATACTCGAATCAACTTGATATCTAAATTCAAGGGGGTAAAGCAGTGACTTCAGTCTTGAAGTCTGTTGTTTTTCCTTTACGTCATTGCTGAGTCATAAAGCTTTGTTTGCAATATTGATTTCCATTGAAAATGCCTTTTTTTTTAAGTAGTTATCTGAGGATAGATTTAAATTTAAAAAAGCATCTGAGTTGACATAAAAGAAAGCGATCTTAAAAATGAAAACAATTCAGATGTCATCCGGTGTCTTCATACAAAAATTAGTGAAAAGCCCACGAGGAAAATAGTAGACTTCATGACACTTCAATGAACTTCACTGGAATTCAAGAGATTTCAAAAGACATTGTATTATTTTGGAAGACTTCATGGTACTTCAAAAAACTTCAAGACTGAAACCTCTGTTATTTTTTCTTCGAAAAATACTGGATTTTTCGAAGAGAATATTCAAAATCTGTAGACAGATCATTAGATTGTTTTCTTTTTAAGTTGAAGTTGAAGAATGCTTTATTTTGAATACGTTTAACTTTCGTTTATCTTTAAAGTAATCATTACTTGATGAGATGAATGGCTAGTACCGTTTATGAATCCGTCACTGTCACTCACGGAAGATCTTTATTAAGCATTGAAATTGCACTATAACAACCGAAGTTAATATCTCTTGGAGTTTTTCACGATTCTAAAATTTAAATTTTTCCGTGCAAACATCCATTCGAGAGATTTTCTGCATAAACTCATTATTACTTTTATTCACAAGGATGCTACGATGACTGGATCACAATGCTGCTTGATCCATCATTGATCAATGTTTATAATTATAACAACCATTATTCTTGAGTTTTCATCTAAGAAAAAAACGACTCGCATATAAGTGGTATCACGTCATTAAGCGACATCTATAACTGTCATATTATACGAACTCTTCTTATTCGTCAACTAGTCCTCGAGACAAAAATTTATGTTGAAAAAAAAATTCAAAAGAGTATTGCTGACGTTTAATGAGTTATTTACTTTTTCTTTCTTTTTTTTACAGAATCAAAATCGATTAGACCAATAAAGTCACAGATTTCTTTTTCTTCCAATATTTACTCAAAACGTTATATCGAATCCAAATAATATTCGTACGTTATATATGAAGGAGAATGCATTTCAATGATAATCAACAAATTGTATAGCACATGTGTTATACGTCTGAAATCAATACAGTGTATCTTCATCAAAAAATATCAACAAAAAAAAAAAGAATAGGTATGTTGTCGATCGTCAAGAAGAAAAAACGATTCAACTTGTACAAGTTGGTTAGTTACATGAAACACGAAAGGAAAAGAAAAAGAACGACCATGATTACTAGCATACATGTTTTATATGCTTACCGTCACAATAGACATTTCTTTTTTCTTTTAAACTACTTTCATCGTTAATATTAAAAAAAAATTATTATTTTAGATTAAAAAGCGGTTGTTTCTCAGTATGAATTTATTTATCATCATTTTCACTTTGATTTTATTTCATGGAAATTATATTTATGGATTAGAAACTGGTGAATTAGATGGTATTGATGTATTAACAGTATTTAAAAATAAAGCAGGGACGTGTAAACTTCGTAATTTTGTTCGATCTGAAACCGATTTTACATTATTAACAGATGATTTAAATAAATATTGTTCATCATCAGATTCTGTAAAACAATATAGAATATTATGTCATATGATTTCATATGAACTTGAAAAAGCTTGTGCACTTCCACCTGATTTACGTCCTGCAAAACCTAAATATGCAACTAACGATTCGTCTGCACAAATATGTAGTATGCTAAATTTAAATGCCACAAATGAATGGATATGGAACAGGATAACAAACAATGGACAAAAACAAATTGGTGTCGATTCAAAAAATTTATGTGCTAAAATTACAGCTGATACTGATACACTTCGATTGGCAAGATTTTTTTATAAAATTGCACCACGTGTTAGAAATGCTGATTCTTCTCAACAAGGTGAAGGTTAGTTAGACAACTTCATAACGAAAGGAAATTTGCATCAATTCTTTCCTATAAAATAAAGAGAAATCTTTTACTATTGTATTATAACTATGAACTAATTTACATTATATTTTAAAAGTGTAAAATGATCAAAGTTCATGACCTAATAACAAATATCTGCCTTTTTTGATAAACTTCTTATCTTTAGGAAGGTATTTTCAAAATAAAAAAAAATTAATTTGAAATCTTTCTTACGGATATTGCATCTAAACAGTTTTCTTAAAATAATGAATATGCACAGCATAAAAGACAAAATTGAACTGAAATTTTAATATTCTGAAAATGATATTCGTTCACGATACAACTTTCAGGTTATTTGAATAAGTATCAAATTAATTTTAAGTTAAGACAAATATATGCTCGAAGGATGTTCCACGGTTGAAGGTGTTTCATTCAAAGACTTTAAAGTACGATAGGAAATTTCAACAGGTTTTCATTTTGATATAGTCCAAACTCATCAAGAATAGCTTTTCTTTCTAGGAATTTCGAGTTATCTAAATCCTTCGTTTTCGATAACAGCTATCTACTGATTTCAAAAGTTTGTAACATTAGTCTGCAGTATACTGTGGCGCATGAAAACCAAAATATAAGATCTAGACGATTTAAAGTTCACAAAGTGACAAGAAATTGATAATGATTTTAAAAAGTAACTCTTAAGTTTATCTGTACTAATTAACCTTGATTAAATAATAAGACAAACTTCCTTTCGCTGTTAATTTTTGAAACAGCTTATATCTAAAATGAATCAATTCATATTTCCTTTTTTTAGGTAAATTTCAATCAAACACAAATAATAAAGTTTTAACAGAATTACCGTCAGGAGGCATCAAAAATACTAAAGAAGCTGCTGTTGATGCAGTACAAACAGATAAAGAAAAAACACAGCTATCTGCTGACAACAATACAAAAAAAACGGATGAGACTGTCAATGGGTTGAAAGAAAAGACTGTTCAAACTGGTGAAGGCACAAAAGACAAGACTGGTCAAGCTGCAGAAGAACCAAAAGACAAGGCTGGCGAAGGTACAAAAGAAAAGACTGTTCAAACTGGTGAAGGCACAAAAGACAAGACTGGCCAAGCTGCAGAGGAACAAAAAAACAAGGCTAGTGAAGGTACAAAAGACAAGGCTAATGAAGGTACTAAAGACAAGACTGGCCAAGCTGCAGAAGAACAAAAAGACAAGGCTAATGAAGGCACAAAAGACAAGACTGGCCAAGCTGCGGAANGTCTTTATCGAGTGATTATTTAGACCGTGAATATCATGCTGAAAATAGCTTCATTATAAAGAGCTCATCAAATTGCACTTATGTTGTAAAAATCTCTTTGATTCATTCATGTAAACTATATTTTCGTAGGAGTCAAAAAAAAACACTGTTTATGACGAGGACCCAATCGGGGCGGTATTCGATGATTATCGATAGAAAAAATTTGTAATCTCCGAAAGTGTTATATACAGTCTAATAGAGAAAACAATTTTGCATCGAATGAGCCTATTTTCAATGAACTATAAACGTTCGATGGTTGTTTTTGAAATCAAAACCTGATTTTTAGTCTTTCTGAAAATGCTCTCGATCTCTCTTATTATCCGGCTGATTTTGAAAATAAATGTGATATTTGGGATCAGCACGTTTTGTTCTATCATTCTATAAAGACAACAAATGGAAGAAAGACAAAATATTTTTATGAATACCTGAGGGGGAACCCCAGGCACAAAAGATTGACTTATGATAAAGTACCAAAAAAAGTTGTGAGCAATGATCAAGAATTCTCAGGCTACTAAAATTGAAATCAATGTTGGTTGCATTTAAGGAGATAGACCCAGTTTGGTAGGTGTGTTGTTGTTAGGGTAATTTTCTTTTTTAACGATGCTGAATGCCTTCTCTTCAAGTTTTGTATCTTATTAAATCAAAGTTCTTTTCTCATGAACCTTTGGATTTAGATGGAGTTCGATACGCTCTACAAAATTGCCAGTAACACCTTTGTTTGTTCTCTGAACAAAAAACGTTAAAAAATTTTTGTTTCCTCAAAAAGTATCTTTTTGCTTGAATTTTGCCAGTGTTGTTATTAGGGTCATTGACTCGACTTAAAACAGTTAACCAAAAACTAATCCGCATGAAAAAATCAATTAAGATTCAATTAATTCTAAAAAAAATTCTCGAAGTATTGGAACATATCTTAAATTAGCAATAATAACAATAATCAATTTATAAAATAAATGTTTAGAAATCATCCTTGATTCGGAACGAAGACTAATCAACACGTTCATGTATATCATCGAATAGTTTTTGAACTTGTAATGAAATGACAGAGCGTGTTAAAACATCTAAATTTTCCCGACAAATAAACATCATAAGATATGGAAAGATTTCATCACCATCAAGAACCGAAAAAAACACATGTAAACACATTGAAAAATCTCGTGCGCTAAACACACTTATTCTTGATCCTAATTTCGAAACACAAAATTGTTGATTATTCCGGTTCACGTTTTTGCAAAATACATTTGAAGAGCTACTTTTTTTTTTAAAATTTATTATAAAAACAAAACAATGTAATCTGTCAAATACAAGAAAAAAAGAACATATTTAACGCAATAATCATTCGAAAAAAAGATAGATAGAGAAAGAAAGAATACAGTTTTGATTATCAGTACAAAAAGCAATATACACTACATACAATTAAATGTGCACACGAAAGAATAATTCACACTAAGATCCGGTCACGCTAGAAGAGTAATTTATATTAGGTTAAAGTAGTTCTTGTTCAGAATAGAATTTCATTATAAGTCTTTTCAGATCTTTGATCATTAACCATAGTATTATTGTCGCAGACGATCTCTATGGTGGTTATTATAAATAAATTCAAGAAGAATGAAACTAAATAGAAAAAAACCTGTAATGCAAAGAATTGTAGCTATATGTGCATAAAAACAAGTATATCGATAAACGACGACTAGAATACCGATGAAAATCAACAAACAAGTGATCCATGTGCTATAGACGAGAGAAAATGTATAGTCTCTACTTAACGAAGGAAGTTCTTGAATAAGGTAAATCTGTAATACAAATAAAATTAATGGTAAGATTCGACCAATCTTAAGCTCCTCATCAGTGAGACAGTCTTTCACTGAAACGATAGAGCAGTGACAATGATCATATGATATACCACAGTATAGATGTGATTGAACTGATGTTACATTTGGCATCTGCAACATGAAAACTGATTTCTGAGATTTTTCCAGAATAAAGATATGCACAAATTGCGCAAAAACGAGTGGGATTATTAAAACAGCATAACAGATAGTAGACCAATGGTATTTTCTATCGACATGAACAATTATTGGCATTTTGATATGTTGTTGTGAATAAGGTGATATCAGACGACGTTTTTTGTTCCCAATATTCTAAATGATAAACAGATAGAAATCGAAAAGTTACAGTGCATTTTCTAGAATAGATAGAGCAGATCTTCAATAAGAAATTAAATATACATTATGCTGATAAATCATCAATTCGTCAAATATTAATCATTCCTCAATACTTAAAAAACGAAGATGAACTTTATATGGTATAACAGTTAATTATGAGCTATTGAGTGAAGATAAAGCTAAAATTTCAATTTGATAAAGCATTTTGAATAAATCTAGAGTACAGATTATTCATGCAAATGTATGACAACGTACAAAGAAAAGGAAAGCATACTATAAAAATAATAAAAAATGCAATAGAACCATGCATAACCACAGATGTTTGATTTGATGAACGACCTTATATATATATAGCTTACTACTCTCAAATGAATGAAGGAATTGGCCAAATGGAACCAGGAAGGACACACTGGCATGATAGATGTCATACTCATCAATAGTCGTTTTATTACATTTTTTCTATTAGATCTATATATCTAAGATTTGACTGATCAAAACTGATGTTTTATAAAGGACGGTGAAACATTTTTTTAGCTGTTTAAATAAGAAGTAAAGACTGTGTCATTCCAAGCGTCATTGTAAGATCGATACTCATTCATTTATAAAAGTGTCAACTAGTACAGGAACCAACGGTGATGTGTGAAATTCTTCAACAATCTTTTGAATTTGTTTTCGCTCTTGAATTCTTCGGATCAAAGCCTTAAGTTAAAGATCATAAGACAACTATTTTCTTTATCTCAATAAACGCATCTGTTGGATAAAACAATTGATTAGTTTACCTTTCTTCTCTATTCCCCTCTGGCACAGTTTGACTTTTTGTTATATTAGACTTTCGCTCGACAGTACGGTGATTGTCTCAATTAGCGATAAAAATGATTTGATCATCATCAATACATAAATCTGAAAGATCTAAGAGTTGATTTAAATGATTTTCTTGTCCACTTTCTTCAGTGATGGTCAATTCAACTTGTTTTTATTTTTGTGCCCAAATAAAAAAAGATCTTTCTATACAAAAAAACAAATTTTTGATGCATTATTTCTAGAAATCAAAATGAAAAAATATAGAAGATTTTCTATGAAAGAAACATTGCTGCATCAATTCATTTATTTAAACAATAAACGAGTGCATTTCATATCTAGTAAAAATTTCCTTGAAAATAATAAAAAAGAATTAAGCCCAATAACTATATCTGTCAAATACAATGTTTCATCGGATTTTTGATAACTAAATATACATATATACTTTTGCACAAGTAAGCTGATTTGAAGATGCAAATGAACTAAAAAAGACAATACTTATATGTATCTTCTTCAACCGTTACATTTGTATATTTATATACAGTGATATAATGCACAGTTGTCAATTAGTATTAATATATTTCTTATTCGAGTTCTCGTTTTCTGTCAAGAAAATTTTCAGGAATTGACTAAAGCTCAAAAATCTACTAGGGAAACTCCAATTCATGATAGTCCTGTTGGCTAATAAAAATAAATGATTTTGTTATAAAATGTAGAAGTAGTGATTATTAATTAATTATTTACCGCTTCATCTAGAAATCTATATATTTCGTATTAATCATATTATAAGATAATTATATGCGATGAAAAGTCAAAAGGAAAAAATATATAAAGTTTATCGATTAATATTTGTTTGTTGTTTTTTCATTCGTTGTACTACAGCAACTTGTTCTTCTTGTTGAAGACAATCAGCAAATGCTTGTAAACATGTTTGTAATTCATTTAAAAGCTGTTGATGTTGAAGTAAATTTTCACGTATATCATTCACAATTTTTTTTTGATCATAATCAACTGTATTTTGTGGTTGTTTAACAATAGCACGTAATTGTTTTGTTATAATTGGTTCTTTATTAGTTAAAATATCTTGACAAGAATCAGATAAAGCATCTTCATATTCTTGTAAATACTCAACTTGTGCAGCATATGAAGCTGATGCTTCATCTTGCTCTTCATCTCATCATAATTATCATTCAATGAAGAACTTGTACCATCATTTGATGATGCAGAACCATAATGATGATGGTGATAATGTTGACGACATTAATTTTCTTTATCATCATAAATAGGTAACCTAAACAAAAAAAACAAATCTTTATTTACGTATACAAATATAGTTTATTAAACCTTTTGATATTTCACCATCTTCATTGGATATAACTCCTACATTATCTCCAGCTAGTAATTCTGAACTCGATCAGCATAACGTAATGCATTCATGGTATTTTTAATATCAGAATGTATTGGTGAAACCATTACAATTATATAAACTTTTGATTTATCACCAATAAATGAATCTCGTAATACTTTTGTTAATGTTGAACCACGAAATGGTACATGACTACCATCATCACGATCCAATGCACGAATACATTCTTTAAGTGCTAATAAAGATTTATTTATTTCTGAACCTTCCATACGTTGAAGACTATCACCACTGGATGTATTTTTGCCACGCTCTGAACAGACTAAATCAATTAAGGACATTTTACCACCTTCTTTCATTAAACGACGAGGTACAGCTGGATTGATACTATTATTATTATAGCGAGATGATGATAATACATTCGAATGAGTAGAAGCAGGTACTACTGATTTTAAAATAACTTGTAAAACAGCATGTGATCGAGAAGAGTTTGAATTTGCTGCTGTTGTACCAGATCTTCGGATACTCATACCATCTAAATTATAATTATCATAAAAATTGTATAGAATAATTTTAGAAACACAATCACAATAAAAAATACGAGAACTTTTAAATAAGAGACGTGCTCAATATTACCGATACTGAAGATACTGGATTTTTTCAATGTAAAGCATAAAGACTAAATATAGACAGAACAGTATTCGTCTCGGTCATGTCTACCGTTTGATCAAGATGATTACTTGAAAAGAAAAAAAAGCTATTTAAAATTTGATAAATTTTGTATCTAAATCATCAATTAAGTTCATCATGTATAAATGCGTGTACACGATTTACTGTCCACGGATTTACTGTCCATTGATTGGAAAATTTTTTTTCCAATTAACGCTATTTTTGTATGAGGATTTACTGTCCATTGATTGAAAAAATAGAATATTTCAATTAGTGTACTTTTTGGTTGAGGATTTACTGTCCATTAATTGCTTCGAAGAAGAGAAATTAATAAATGAGTAATGGTCTTGACAATCAATCCCTTTTCTTAACAAAAAATTACATAAATGTTGAAAAACAAAAAAGTCACCAATGAGCGAGCTATTGAATAAATTTTCAATTTAAAATGAGGAATACTCATCAAATTGGGGGGTAAAATAGTCATTAATATGACAAAAATTTATGAAAAANTATTTAAAAATAATATTTTTTATTTAAAAGGTTGATCCAGATAATTATTATGTTTTTTCAGTATTTGGAATATTAAATATTCGACAAAATGGACTTGATGTAGAATTTTATGAGTTAGCCGAATGGTATAGACATGCTAAACTATGGCATGCATGTCAACAAATACCTTTTTTTCGAAATTATCTTATCAGAAAAGAATTCAATTTGTAAGTTTTTTCACCTATTCATAATACTTCAAAAATCAAGCAATTTTCTTTTCAATAGAAAAATACTTACGCAAAACATAAAGATAGTCCTCTTAACTCTGAAACTTTTCTTTTTATTTGTTTGCTCATCAGTACATCTAGTTTATTACTATAGTATACTAAAAATTAGCATTAGTCTATTAATCGAAAGCACATCAGGAAAAGCATTCTATATTGAAACTGTTATGTTTTATCTTTTAATAAATTTAAAGAAACAAAAATCTTCGAATTTATTCTTATTGTCTTTATTTCGAAATTTCATCATCTCATCATGGAAATTATCTTTCTAAAAGAACAAGAGGTGTAACATATTGATTGTTGATATACATTAGGAAAGACTTTGCTAAAAAATATAAATGTCTACTAAAAAGTATAGTCTCATCTATTTCTAAAATAGGTTGAGAAAATGATAAAAATTTACTTTCGAAGTAAAACTTAAAGAAAAAAAGCAAGAATAAATATTGTAATTTATAAAATGATTTTTATTATAAGGTGGTTATCTAATGCTCGATTTTCTCGATTTTCTCAACGTCGATCTGAAATCAGTAAAACACATCTTTTATTAATGAATAATCGTATATTTCAAATGGCATTATTTGAAATTCGACGAGTTATACTTGAATATCAACAATTAACATTACTTCCAAAATTATTTCCGTAAATTGAAAAATTTCTATGAATACATAAAATTCATAAATTGAATTTTTCTTTTAGAGGAATGACATTATCATTAAATGATTTTGAAACAATGGTTAAACGTCATACAAAAGATACATTAGAATATACAAAAAAATTTTACAATCATATAAAAACAATTCTTGATATGACACGTGAAACATGTGGAAAAAAATTACATATTATTTTAAAATGTCTTGAAGAAGACAATATTACTTTGTAAGATAAATTTTTAAAATAATTTATCATCTTAATAAAATAAATTTTCTTTTTTTTTTTTTTTTTTTTAAATAAAAGTAATACATCATCGGGTTCAATATATGAACAACGAATAAGAAAAGAAAACTTACGTAAAGAACTTGAGCAAATGCAAAATGATATTCGGTAAAAGAAATTCTCTTATTGTTTTTGTTTTTTTCTTATTTAAATAATTTTTCTTTTCAAGAAATATTTGTCCATTTTTAAACTTATGTTCAGCAATGTTAGCATCATGTTTATGTGATATTCAACGTGATACATTATCACAATTTGTACTTACAAATGCAACATTTTTAACAAAACTCCATTTAAGTGATTTTGATTGTAAGTTTTTATTTAGAAAATAAGATTAAGAATAAAAGAAAATTTGTTAAAGCTAATCATATGCTTCGATATCTTCCATCATGGGATGATTATCTAGAAATATTTCAATCTATTTTACAACAACCACAACAAATGCTTTATGAACAATGGAAAAATATTTTAGAATTAGACACTTGTTTGAGAGATGCTGATAAAGTTGGTGATATTATTAGACAAGAAGGGTATTAAAATCTTCTTTCGTTCTTCTATTGATTTATTATTTTTGTTTGTTAGATTAACAAGTCAATGTGAAAAATGTGGACGAGAACTTTATTCAGGTTTACAAGAAACATCATCAAATTCATGCAAATGTCAAAAGCAACAATCGAAAGGTTTGTTTCATTCTATTCGATTAAGTTTCATTTGAGTAAAACTAAGTTCTTGTACGAATGATAATTCTATTAGATTATGTCACAACTGATTAATGCTTATCATTTTAACAAAGAAAAAAAAATATATCTCAACAATCTCAAATATATTAAGAATAAACAAAATAAAAAGGCGTAATAGAAACAAAAATAATTATGTAACGTATCGGAGTGACTAATGTCATTTTTCAAAAAACAATGGGTACACCTGTTTTCGAAATAACTTTTTGTAGAAAGCAAGTAGTGACTTGTGGTTTTCATCATTCAAAAGAGAAATGTTAAGAGTATGAAAATGAAGATATGTTATATTCGACCGATTAGATGAATCTTTATTGAAAATCTTTGAAAGTAGATTTCTAGAAAAATTTTCTATTTTATTTTGATTTTACTCAGTCTTATTTGCAAAACAGGAGTTCAGAAATCTCCTGATCTCTACAGAGAATTAATTTTTTTCAAGACGGTACCGTTAAATAGTTATAAAAACTTTTTAGAGATCTCAGGTATCTGCCAAAAGATCTTAATTTATTTTAAAATACGTCAACACAGAAGTTATGGAACACGTTGCGTTCAGTGATCATAGTTTTTTGCAGTTTCCATGTGATTTTAAGCACTAGATCACAATTTTCGAAAGTCTAATTGTTGTCATTCTATGATTTATACAGCATATATTGACAATGGTCGTCTAGTGACTTAAAAATATATTGAAACTGAAAGCAAACATTACTCTTGAACTTAAGATTGTTCAGTAATTCTATGGTGAATTGCTTTCAGATGATTCAAGATCCTTTGGTTGAAACTAGAAATTTCTAGAAAACCTTTATAAATCTCGAATGTTGTCTCGTAAGAGTTTGGCCTTCTGGAGATCTGTCGACTTTAAGCTCCTTTCTACAAGTAAAACTAAGTAAAATCAAAATACAATTGAAAATTTTTCTATAAATTCATTCTCAAAGATCTTCAACAAAGACTAACCTCATTGATCAAAGATCACATAGTGTCATATTCTTAATATTTCTCGATTGAATAGTGAAAATCTCAGACCGCTATCTACTTTCTATCAAAACTTATTTAGAAAACAGCGGTACCCATTGGTTTTTTTTTTCTTTTGAAAACGACAATAGTTCAACAACAAACCACATTGACTATTGACGCCTGGAAGATATCGCATGTAGAACTTAGTTTCCGCTGTATTATATTACAACTCTTTACAGGTAGTGTCTATGTTCATTAAGATAGGTTTTTCATTTAATTTTAAAAGTAGCTATTAATACTATTAACAAAATTCATGTGCTCAATGAATTAATTATATTCATCATCGAAGAATCTTTTCGAAAACTTGAGTAGCGGAAGACTGTTTGGTTTTGAATATTTGAAATACAAGTTTTTCTACTATGAGACTATCGAAGGCAGAATTATATAAGAAGTTTGTTCTTACGAGAGTGTTTCTGTAGTGTCTAATAATTATCGCTTTCAAGAAAAAAACTCTTTTTTTTTTCTTTGCAATAAACTATTTTGTCCTGTGAGAATAAAAGTTATCTCATTTCATATAGGCCTTGATTATAAAAACAAAGATTTTCCTGTAGATCTGAACCCCAAATATTTTCGAAGTATTCACTTCTGTTTGCTTTCGTACTGATGGGCAAACGTCTTAATCATGAATCTCATTTAATATAAATTCAATATTTTTTTTTTGAAAATAGCCTCAAAAAATGAACCGAATAACCTGTCAATCAAAGGTCATGGATTTTTTGGTAGTACTAATCGACATGAAGTTTTACCATTTGAATTTATATTTACAAAAGAGTAAGTTTAAATTATATGTTTAAGTTCGTTTAGTTGCTTTTTGTTTTTATGTTAGTACAAAATATAAAGCAGATATAAAAAATATTCTTTCACAATTTCGTTTATCTTTCGATGAATTGGATACATATTGTGAATCAAATGAATGGTTATGTGAAATCAATCGTTTTTGTCTTCAATGGACTCCAAATCAAATGAAACAAATGTCAGAGGACAAACAAGTGTTTCTTATTGAGGTACGTTTCAGAAAAAAAAATTCTTTTTTTTTTTTTTTGTATTTTTATTCTAAATTTCTTTTAAATTAATCAACAGGAACAATTAAATCTTCTTCGTGGTTGGATTGATAAAACACGTACATTTGAATTAACATATTCAACAACAAATTCTCCTTATATTATTCAAATGGATTGTTCCGTGATAAGTCAAGGTCTATGTAATAAAGTCGAAAGAATTTATACAGATTTTGGAAAATATCTTTATCGTTATGCTTGTTCAAATGCACAAATACTTATTAATAAATTTCAAACTGCACTTGAAGTTTGTTTTTGAATTTCTTTTTATTGTTGAGAAAAAAGCAAAAACTTTTTTCTATTTATTTAAAGGTATTTGATCAACGACCTTCAGCAATTGAAGAATTTGCTAAATATGCTAGTTATTTAGCTCCACATAAAACAGAACTATCGTCAAATCAACAAACAATTGAATATTTTACAAGTCTTTTTGATGTAAAATTAATTTTTAATAATAAAATATTTTAATTTTATATTCATTTGAATAGATGATTTTTATGCATTTTGGTCATTTACGTCAAGAAAATGAAAATGAACTGATCGATAAATTAATGACAGACACATGGAAATTATTTCGAAAAAAACTATCTGATGCAGCTGATTTTGTTGCACAACAAACTTTAATTATAAAACAACGTTTGCACGATACTTTTGAAGTAATAATATATTATTAGAAAATTTTATTTAGAAATGTGGAATTTTGTTTTTGTTCATTTTTTTCATTAGAAATTCTTAAATCAAGCAGAATTGTTATATAGTCAATCAACAAGTGGCATTTTTCTTGATTCTACACAAGATCCAATGGAAATGGTTAAACAATTAAAAAAAGTGAAAAAACAAAACTTTTTTTTTTTTTTTTAATTAAATTTAATTTTGAAATTATTTTTCATATAGAATTGTATTGATTTTATGGGACTTGAAAAACAATTAAGACAGTATGCTGAATGGCAAGCATTGTTAGCTGCAAATAGTTTAAGTCCTACAAATGAAGATCAAGTTGAAAATGAAGATATATACAATGTTGGTCAATGGTCAATAGAAATTGATCTTAGAAAAGATATATGGAAATATGTTGAAATAACATCGAGTTCGATTAAAGAATGGAAAAATACATTGATTAATAAAGTATTACATCGTTTTTTTTTTTTAGAGTTTTTTTGGAAAATATTTATCAATTTTCTAGTTTAATATTCGTCGAGCACAAGAAAAACTTGAATGTTGGATGAAAATTGCTGAAGATTTTAAAGAGAAAATATCTGAAGATGATCCAATTGTTCTTCATTGGATAAAAATTCTTCAAAATTTTGAACAAAATATTGAATTACTTAAAAAATTATTAAGTGATGCTATGACTGTATGTTTATTTGTCTTTTTTCTTCTTTAATAAAATATTAATATTAAAAAAAAAATTAAATTATTTATTTTTAAGGCAGAACAATGGAAACTTCTTTTTCGTGCAAATGGTCACGAATATGATCCTCAACATAATTATCGTATTCAAGATTTAATTGATTTAAATATTCTTCAAATTGAAAATCAAGATGTTTTTATACAAATACATAAACAAGCAACAAGAGAACAAAAACTCAAAGATAAATTAATGAATATGCAAACATGGCTTAGTGAACTTCATTATCGAATGGCCAAATATAAACCACCTCTTAAAATAACTACAGGTAATTATTTTTTTTTTAAATAACTATTAGGTTCTGAGGAAAAATGAACTATTGAATTCAATCGAAGCATTTTGTCTAGGATTTATTTTTCTGATAGTAAACATGAAAATATACAAATTGTACATTAATATAGTGTGAATAAGATCTGATATTGTGACATCTTATTCTATACTAGGGGACATTTTTTATTTATCGTTACAAGCTAATTAAACAGTCATGAAGGGTCGTACATTTTTAGAATAACACAAATGATAGATTGATGTTCATTCAAACACTTCTACATATATAGGATGATTTAGATACTTTATATTTCAATTTGAATCTAAGATTGGAAACCAATACTAATGATGAGATTTCATTGTAAAGTATACGACTAAAAAAAAATGTATTAGTAATCTATTTTGAATAAATAATAAAGAACAGTATACAGAAAATAATATTTGCTTTCTATTTGAACAAATAAACTAGTATATGGGTTCCAACGAAATGTTACTCAGACATTCTTAAAAATTGTGTTCAATAGAATTATATAAAGCTGGAGAAAAGCCATCAGTTGTTTTTGTCCTGATGAACTAGAAGATAATCGCAGTAAGCAAGCTATTTTACATACCATAAAATTTCAAGGCTTATGTCGTAGAGAATATATTGTAAACGATTTTTTAGAAGTTTCATAATGCATGCCTAGTTAAGCTATAACCGATGATAATCAACAAAAACTTTACAGATTGTAATCGTTTCATTCGAAATGAATAACTATTCTCTTAAAGAATATCAATTAGAACTTATATCGAAATTTATTTAGTTAATATATACAATAAATTTAGTTCGAAATCGTATAACATCATCGTATCGACAACGTTTAAGCCGATATCGTGAATTACGTGCACGTACACCAACAGCTCGTAAAACGCCAACAGAAGTAATTGTAACTACAGAATCATCAATTGAAACTATTGAAGAAGCTTATATTATGATTAATTCTCAAGAAATTCTTCGTTTAATTGAGGTTCGATTAATAATAAATTTATTCTTTTTTAAAGAAAAAATAAACTTTTTTTTTTTATTTATTCTAACAAATAAAACTTACAAAAACATGA